TTGGTCCTACACACTTGTCATGAGATCAGGATCCATGCCAGCATCCCAGAAACACCAACTTCTTAAATGCTCCTTCAATAATGAATTATTTTAAGAAGAGGAAGAAACCTTTATGTCACATATACAATACAGTACAGTGAAATTTATCATGGTTCTTCAGCTTAATAGTTCCTAAGCCCCTTAACCTCTAGTCTCGTTCAAACATCTTCCATGTTCCACATCACTGATTAAGTATGTACATGCTGGTAGAAGATAGAGATGTGTATTTTGGTCATTTTCACAGCTCACAGACAAAATATGCAAGTACTTTAATTTGTAGAGGGTAATCACATCTTTAAAAGCCTGTTGTGTTTGCACCCTTGACAAAAATTAAGTGCTGTATTGTAGAACACAGCCTGGGTTTCGTGTCTTAGTTTTTTCCCTGGCATGTATTTAAATGCGAGGCAATTTATGTGATGCAAAATGTTCAAAGCTCACTGAAGCCGGGAACCAGCACTGCTTTAATAAACGCTCCAGCTAAGCATGCAGATAAGCTGCTTTGCGTACACTGAGTTTATTTTATCATGCTAACAAACTTTACTTGATCATATATCAAGTAAAACAGTAACACATGTTTATAATATTACAGACAATTTGCTTAACATATTTACTCGCTTATAGTGAGAAGGCACCAAAATAAAGCTCCAATCCCAATGAATGGTGGTTGTGACTTCCACTTCCACACTAGATTACGGTCCTATTTCATAAAGCATTCAGTCCCTGACTCACTCTCAGTTTTTTTTTTTGGAAAATATGCTAGCAACCTAACAGTACTTTTATTTACTGTCAGAAATGATTAAAGAGATAATACAGATCATATTTTTGTTTCTTTCTCATTCATTCTGGATCCGGATCTTGGGAACACTTGGAGAGCAAGGTGGGAATACACACTTGATGGAATGTCAGTCCATTGTAGGACACTATGCATACACTAATTTAAAACTAGCGGCAGTTTTGTGTAGCCAATCCACCTACTGGCATGTTTTTGGGAGGTGGGAAGAAACCAGAGAACCTGGAGGAACATGTGAAATTCCAGCATTACCTTTCATTTCACCCATGTCCAGTGTCTTGCCCAACTGCTCCAGCAGGTCGGCACGTGCTGCGTTCTTCTTGTGCTTCTTGCCATCATAGTGTTGTCGCGCCATGCCCGGGTTGTTGAACCACGCGTGGCACAGCTGGCAGTAGCGGTCCGAGTCCCCATTCAGCTGTGGCCAGCTTTCAGATGGCATTTTAACTGGACTGGGTGCCACCTCTGAAGGACAGAAAGAAAGAAAAGTGTCAGTAATTGTTAAGGATGAGGTTGGAGAGCTTTCACGTTTTTTCTCTTCCTTTCCTCTCCACTCGATTCTTCTGGAGGACAGAGAGAATGAAAAGTATGTCATCTTTTAGGAATGTGGTTGAATAACATTTATATTTTTTTGGGAGTCCCTTCCTTTCTTTTTCCTTCCCTTCCCTTCCCTTTTCCTTTCAAGTTAGAGAAGAATCTAGCAATTACTAGGAATTGTGTCGAGATGGATCCTTCAGCCTGATTTTGCCATCTGCAGCATCGCCACAGGCCTGGAAATAATGAGGTCTTGCCTTAATCTGTCGCATAAGCAAGAATGTCTGACAATCGGGGGTGAAAAAACTTGAACCCTAATCTGCTTATTGCTGCTCGCTTATCTTTTGTGTGTATGACTGTTAACATGACTGGCCCTGTGCTGGTACGAATCACCAAGCCACCAAGCCACATACAATCGGTTCTAATGCTCAATCTTGTAGTTGTTTCTTTCCCCCAGATCTCGGTGTTGCATGAAGAGTCATATTTGGATACGTCTGCAGAATGATGGTATGTCTTCCATGATACAGAACTCTCAGTAAGATGCCATTTTGTCTCACATTAAAACAGAGCGCGAAAAGGAAAAACAAACTCTCAAATGACCCCCCAGTAATAAGCATTAGAAAGCTAACTGGCTTAGTGGTTTTCTTATGTTTATCATTACAAGCCAATAGACTCAAATGGAATTTATCAGGAGCAAATTTGAGACTTTGATGCCATTCAACATCACTAGAGAAGCAAAGCTAATGTTTATTTTTTTCATCATCACGTAGACAATACCCAGGCTGATTACTACAATGCTTTCATTTATCAGCATGAGCACAGAATCTGGGACACGACCGTAAACAGCAGGCACGCAGAAATATCCTTTCATCCCACTGAGATAATCGCACCATGCCAAGAGCTGCGATTTCTTTCTTCCGTCTGTTGTTTTTTTACAGCAATTTTTTTTCCCCCTTGCCATTGTTCTTAAGACTTTGAAATGACGCGCTCACGGTTTGGGCGAAATTTAATTCGGGTAATTAACTGCTGCGAATGAGATGACGATGAATTCTGAAAGTGAATTAACTCAAGAGTCAAGAGGGAAACATGGCTTACCGCCTTTGGTGGAGCGTGACAATGTAACAGAACGGAATGAAAGCAAAGTGATTCATTTCAATAGAAGATAATTTCATCAAAATTGGCACATATTTGCTTCTTCCTTTTATGCCAAGGTATTCATGCAGCTGCTGTTTCCAGATTGCCTAGATGCATTGAATTCAATTTAATTATTAAAGACTTTAAGATGGTGATGGCTTGTTTGTTTGGGGTGACTGGAACTGCATGTGAAATGTATTATTTTATATCATAGCTCCATTTATTTCTCGGAGTGAGAAGGCGTTGATTAATTTTATGCAACAGCATGGCTCTGTGCTCATTCTAATCTGTTATCGTTTTTATCTTTTTTTTTGTTTTCTGTCACGAGAACGTCTTCAGGACAGACGGTATTGTGCTTTCTAGTTACTTGGTAACTGTTTAACTGTTTATAACTGCTATAATATGAATGATAACCGGAATGAACTTGTTTCGCTGACGTTTCACAACATTAAAATGTAACTATAAATGGACAAAAAGTACAATGCGTTGCTGTTTGATGAAAAAAAAACGTAATCGTTGGCAAATTTCTGTGGTATGAGACGAATATAACTTGTTACAGAGAATTAATCTTCAGTGTAGTAAATTTACGTCGCATCACAATACCATGTCATTGATTATTTCACTATAACAGCATGCCTCCAAGTGGTTTATTCCTTACTATAAAACAATGAAATGAAATGAAGGGGAAAAATGGCGCTCTGCTATGCACCACTGAAGAACCAGAAAACACAGAGAAGAGAACATGGGAAGAGTTGGGAATATGGAAATTAGCAAGGTGTGATGGACGTTCTCTTTTTACCTTTTTCCGACGTGCAAAAAAAACAAACAGATAGAAAGTTCCCAGAAAAAATAAACCCTGGTTAGATGACCTTATTGTAATGCCATTTTGTGTTGCGTTATTTTTCAATGTCTTAAATGCAATCTAAACATGTAGCTCAGTATCAGAATTGTGTTTGAGTAACGTCGACATTGCACTCAGTGTCACTTCCATTTTTTAATAGCAGGAGGAGCAGCATGAGCTAGCAATAAAGCATGGCTGATGCATAGCTTTTTAGGAGAAAACATCTATCACTCAGAAAAAAAAGGGGGAGAGACCAGTGTTTCCAGGAAACCAAACAAAAAAAAATCTGAGCCCACCATGTTTTTTTTTTATGGAGAGGATGAAATCTGATTTTGTTTTATTAGGCGAGAGAAGGGAATGAGGAGGTCATTTATCAATCAGCGAATTCAGCATGAGGCACTGTGTGCAGAAATGAGTTTGAACTGTGTGTCAAGTCTATGTCATCCTTCAGACTGCGACAGGAGTTCAAACTCCACACTCCACGCTGATGATTTATCTGAGGTGTTTGCTTGTGCTTGATGGGTTTTGTCTGGGTTGTGTGTGAAAATGTTTGGTCTTTTTTTTTCTACACTTTGAAACTGCCATAAATCCGTTTTATGGTGTGCGGATTTGTGCCAGTAATTGCTATAACATTCTTCAATATCCACCACACACAATATTGCTATTGTATGAAGAGAATGAGTGGAAAAATGTTTTCACAATTACACTGCAAGTTCGTGACTTCTGTCATACAATTCAGATGACATTTATGAATATAAACACTTCCTCAGTCTCAGAAAAAAGGGTTTACTTACTGGCGTGGTACCCTCAAGGGTATACTTTTGTACCATTAGTATGCATCTTTTACCTTTAAAGTAAAAATTTATGTACCTTAAAGCTCTAAACGAGACACTTAATGCTTTGGTCAATACCATGATGATAATGAAACCTATAAAAATTGAGATAATTATCATTATAAAAAAATGTTTAAAAATCCAGAGTCTGTTGAATGAGAGCTTTGAGAACTGCCCTATAGCCATTTGGAGGATGCTGTTACACCAGGCTTACGGGGTTTGATGAGTAATCTCACACTGATGCAAGACCAACTGTTAAATTAAAAGCTAAATGTCAATTTCATCACTAGCCACCACAGGCTGAAAAAAATGCTGACAACCTTCAGGGAAGGAGACACCAAAAATGATCACTTTCAAACATCACTGAGATCTAGAAGTTTCCTTCCAGAATCTGGACAGTGTTCAGATAGTGAAATTTCCAGCTCCTAGACACTAGAAACAATGAATTCGGTCACTACGGCTTCTGATATGCCGTGAAATGTAAACGCTATTTATAAGCTTCTTAAGGTCCAAGCAAAGATGTGGAAGAACATGGCTAAATTACTGTCGTTTCCTTGTACTGAAAGTTTACACTAAAATCGCTTTGGTTCAGTTTTAGCTGAATTCAGTTTTATACTTGGGAATAAGTCATTGCCTCACAAATAAATTTTATAATTAGCCAAATTTTAAGACAATTTTAGCCAATATTTAAGCTTCCTGCTGCCTTTGCTAATGTATATATTTGTAGCCTACACTAGATCTGCATGATTTAGTAAACTGCAGTTACTTCACTTTAAGTTGCAGGACGAGCACATGTAAATAAAATATAATTTTGCATACTATTAGTCTGGGAGGCATGGTGGCTTAGTGGTTAGCACGTTTGCCTCCAGGGGTGGGGGTTCGATTCCCGCCTACGCCCTGTGTGTGTGGAGTTTGCATGTTCTCCCTGTGCTTCGAGGGTTTTCTTCAGGTAAGAAGAAGTCCAAAGCCATGCACTGTAGGCTGACTGGCATCTCTAAATTGTGCGTAGTGTGTGGATGTGTGTGCGATTGTGCCCTGCGATGGATTGGCCCCCCATCCACGGTGTCCCCTGCCTTGTGTCCCAAGTCCCCTGGGATAGGCTCCCTGCCACCTTGTGTAGGATAAGCAGTACAGAAAATGAATGGACAGATGGATGGATGGATGGATAACATTAGCCTATTTCACGAGCTGTTTATAATGATGGCTTCCTTTATTTTATCCTGTTTTCCTTTCCAAAATGAGAGGAGAAAGTGAAGCCGGTGAGGGAATGACTGGTTATAGCTGCTGTAACGTAAGTGACACCAGGAACTTGTTTTGTGGACGTTCTACAACATTACGTAACTATAAATGGATAGAAGCATGTGTCATTCTTTGATAAATAAATTTTAAAAAATGTTCGCATTGGCAAGCTAGTGTGGATTATGTGGAATACATCACTTCAGTGACTTGCTGTTATCATTTATTTCTTATATCCCCAAGTTCTAATTGGTTATAACATGCATAATATTTCTAGGAACAGTTTAGATATTCTCAGAAACATGGCTGCATTAGCAAGCAGTTGTTTGTTGCAAATTTGTAGGTGTAAATCCCTAAAACCTTCCAAAACACGTGCTATTCATGGGCAGTGGCTCTGGCCAGCGTTATTTGTCATCATCGCTGTCTTCTCTCTCCTCTACTGTCTCACCCAATGGAATTATAAGAGCTTCACTCCTGCCTTAATGGCCCTTCAGAGGTCCCAAATTAAGTTCCCTTTCTTTGCACGGAGACTCCTCTGGCGCTCAAGGATCCATTAGTATCCAATCAGTTTTTGTTAATGTCCTTATGGTCAGCAGGGGGAAGGACGCCGCCATTTGTTTAGCAGCTATGTTTAACCATTTCTGTTCTGTTCAATACTTAGCAACTGTTGTACTTTTCACTGTGTCCCAAATATTTCCATTTAAACCAATGAATCTTTTTTAAGACGCTCTGGATAAGGGCGTCTGCCAAATGCCATAAATGTAAATGTAAATGAATCTGATTGGTCAGAAGGAGTCTTCGGTGTCAGCATGACATGACGTGTTATTTAATAAGTTTTAAACAAACTGCTGTGTTATGAGAGGAATAAAACACTTCGGGACATTCTGTTATAATAAAGTAATCAACTTTGGCATGGAAGCAGTAACTCTGGTTCATCACACTACCCTGTCGTTAATTACGTTCCTATAACAGCACACTCTGCCGTGTTTTATTCCTTACTCATAGATTAATATGCAAGCAGTTTGGACTTTCTTGCTATTTCAAATCCAAGTTTTCGGTTTTACTCATACTTGTCTAGGCAAGGATTCAGGTAGATGAATGAAGATCCCAATAAATAATATCCTAAAACGGCAGCCATCATTAGCAACATGCTGCTTTCTCCCCAACTCCCTGGCAGATGGGAGCGAAAGACCCAATGCTTCTGGATGCCTGAGAGGTATTATCATCCATCTCTCTGCTGGCTGAAGAACTCACGCTGAGGCTCCTTGTGCACAAAAAGCACTTTGAAAGCACTTAGCAAACTCTGGGGCTATATATATTTTAGGGAACAGGATTAGAGCTGAGGAAAGAACAGCTGAGATTAAATCTAAATGAAAGTTTCCAACCATATGTTCAAGGACAGAGGAGAGTCTGCTAATGATGGAGGCTTCAAAGCGAACTCCATGATTAAATGTCAATCAAAAGGAGAAAAAAAATCAATCCTGTACAAAGATTCACCTGTCACTTACAGACAATCTCTCTCTCGCAGTGGGAATCGGTACTATTTTACCTAAAACTTTCCCGGATATGGAAAATGCTAAAAAAAAACTAACAGCGTCTTGGCCTCTGCATGACTTTCTGGAAGAAGATGTTTTTTTCCCCCTCTGCTCTCCACATTCTGACAAATAAAATAATCATCCAGTGACACCTGCATGTCAGGGATTTGTAAATTTAATGAGTCTCTTTAAGCGAGAGGAAGTTGCAGAAAAGCTCCAGGTAAACGCCGAGTGACACTTCAGGCAATCAGGAGGCTCAGGAAGAGAAAGTCGACTTTCCGGAGACTTCCAGCAGACAAATGAGGCACCCGCTGGATTGTGAAGCACATAATAATGACTTCCTATAAAATGAGATAGGATTTTATTATACAGAATATATTTCTTCATTTCTGAGGTTTTGATTTGTCTCTACGTTGTAAACTTTCTTTTTTCCTTCCGCAAGTTGAGAAATGCAAATTCTCCGCTTTTGAAGTCTGGCAGTCATTTTTCGCTTATAAAAGTTTATGAAAACCATTTTGTAAAATTGACGTGTGAAATGTGCCGGAGGATGTGTTTCGTACTCAAGGCCCTTAAAAACCAACATTTTAAATGTCCAAACATGATTGAATGGAAATCATAAAAAAATTGTGCGGTGAAGCGTTCCACATCCTTTCCCTGTTTTTCAAAGTCATTTATGAATCTGCGAGTTATTTATTCTTCCTCTGTGCTCCCATTTGGAGATGCAGTTGTCCCTTCATTTCAACAGTCTGGCTAAAGCTTGCTGCATCTACTGAGCAAACAAAAGAAGCTGGGGAACAAACGAACTTGAATATTTCGAAAGTTGCCCAAAAAAAGACTTCTAATATACATTATAATCATTATAATATACTGTATAATATCATTTCTATAGTAACCACTCATTCACAAAACTTGTATGGCAGACACTCAACATAAACTGATTAAAAACAAAAACGTATGTAATCACTGACATGGTGACATTATCTCTAAAGAGAGAGAAGTAACATTTATGGAAGGAGTCTCCAGTGTCAGCGCTTTCTAACAGTCAGCATTAAAGGTGTAATTTTAACTTTTCCACCACAAGAAAGTTTTCAGAGGCGTTTACGTTTTGCGGTTTCTCAGTAACATGACAAGCTGCGATTTTGTCAATGCCGGTAAAAAAAAAAAAAGAAAAAAGGATAATCCCTATGAACAATGAAAACATGAGCAAGGGTTAACACCAGGAAACACAGAGGGAGAAAACAAGGCTTGGGAAATGCATGATTATAATCTATGATACTTCATGAGGAAGGAGAGAAGCAACAGGATACAAATAATCAAACTAATCAAGACCTGGACTCAGGACAGGTGCACACATTAGGGCAACAAACCAATGCTAAGGCAAGGGGCAGAGACAGGATAGCAAACAATAACAAACAAACAATAGCACATGAGATGAATTCGAAACACGCAAGAGCAGCACTTGCCACACTGGGAAACGCATAGCGTGGTAGTGAGGGGGAATTTGTGACGACAGTAACAGGAACTAACTTGTTTCACAGACATTCCACACCATTCAATATAACTATAAATGGATAAAAAGTATATGTCATCCTTTAATGAATAAAAAACTTGCTGGTAAATTGATATGGTATAAGAGGAATAAAATACTTAGTGGTGTGTTGTAATTGGAAAATAAACAACTTAGACGAGGTAACTCTACTTCTCGTCACTGACTAATCTTCTTTCTATTCCTTGCACAACACACAGAGAGCTACACTAATTCAGTTACCTTTGGAATAAAGGAACAACAAAAGCCGTGACCTACATGCGCTCCCAATATCCCACACTGAACCTGAGATCAGAGGTCAGATATCAGAGGTCAGCCTCCGCCACCTCTCTAATACGCTTCGTGCAGTGATTGATATTGATCTGCACTGATCTTCCTCTGAATGCATTAGCAACACACATCACACAGGAAAGTCCTGCTTTCGAGAACCAACCAATCTCCAAGAGCCATTCTATATTCAAGCTGGGACATTTTGTCGGCTGCATGTCACTATGGTAAGGTGCCCATTTCAGGACATTTTAATGAAGCAGGAAGTTTGCAACTTTCAAATTACTATGTCCACACAGTTATCTAACACACACCGTTTCTCTTTATGCAAGTTAGCTACAGGAATAACTGCTACAGGAATGCTCAGGCTCACCAGTTTTTTACTTGCATGCAGAGCAATTAAACATGTGTACATTACTGAATATGTGCATATTTGCTTAAGATCATTATGAAATACATTGTTATATCTAAACTTGCTTCTACATTCCATGTATTGGTTTGATCTAGCAATCCTTTTTGCCAAAGATGGGCAGATTTTGCCATATTTAGTCTTTTTTGACAATGTATGATCTATATTCGTTCAGTCAACAACAGACAATCAGTAGACAATCATACTAATTTCAGTATGATTTATATTCATACAGTAGATATAGTATTAGTAATTAACACCATAATCGATTTTAATACAGTAGATGCAATATTATCATTTAATAGTATAATCTACATTAGTACAGTAGATACAGCATTACTGCTAATTAAAAGTATAATCTATATTAGTACAGTAGATACAGTATTGCTAGTTAAAAGTATAATCTATATTAGTACAGTAGATACAGCATTACTGCTAATTAAAAGTATAATCTATATTAGTACAGTAGATACAGCATTACTGCTAATTAAAAGTATAATCTATATTAGTACAGTAGATACAGTATTGCTAGTTAAAAGTATAAT